ACCAGGTTCACCACTAAGACATGCCCCTGCACACAAGTTTTCTGAACACATAACCTTTGTATGGATATTTCTTATAAATATATATGTATATATATCTTTTAGAAATCTTATGTGCTGTAAGCACTAACAGATTATAAAGAATTGGCTGTAGAACCTTTTAAGTTTATGTAGAATACTACTGATATGCCTGTATCCAGTAAAGAATGCCTCAGCTCAAAATTATGATCTGAAAAAAAACTTGGTAAGCTACCACCTGATATCAGGGGTGCCTTATCTTTCTCTTGAATTTAAATTCCCCTTGAAACCAGCCCATAAGACCTGCCTTACACTGAATAGCTCTACGTCTAGAACGCTCTTATTGTAGAAACCAGAGATTTCCCTAAGTCTCCTGAAAATCTTCACTCAGGAAATATTTTCAGATTAGGATAGATAAAACCAAAACATGATTTACTGATCAGTGTTGCTTTTGGTGTTTCCCATAGTGCAGAACCCAGCTGAATTTCAGCCTTTCAGCACTATTTATCAAGACTTACATCTGAATTCTCCACTTGGAGCTCACTCTAAGTCTACCCCACCACTCACACAAGGTAAAGTTATATCCTTCTACCTCGGCTCAATATTGCAACAGATGTTTCAGTTATGAAAAGATACTTTTTTTCTGTGTGTAAGTGTGCACTAAAAGATGCAAGAGAGTGCATTTCTTCTGATGTGGACCCTTACATGAAAACTCTGCTCACACTACAGCAAATTTGTGATTTAAGATGTTACAGATTCATCTTTGTTAAGAATGGGGTTCCCTTGCAATTAGAGGTCCAGAGCATTCAGACACTATGAATGATACTCCAGCTAAAAACTCTGTCATAATGTGTCAAAAGCCAAGTCACAGTGCTGCTGTAGCTAGAAAGGGGCTTCAAAGGGAAAAAAACCACTGTGTTATGGAGAATGGGATTTCTTGGAGCTTATTCTTGGGCAGTATTAACTCTTAAATTTTTGTTTTCCCTGATAGCTGCAATAATGAGGAATCTTTCTGCTGATATGTAGGACTTTTAAGTCTTATTACTAGCTTATTGAAATGAACTGCTGATAACACAAAACCTTAAATATGAAACCAATACAAGATGACCTAAAGCCAAGATGATTCCATTGTGTTACCAAAATTCATATTCTACTAAGGCTTGTCATGTGTTATTCATGGGCATGAAGAAAATAATAGCAATTTAATATCTAGAATTGTGGTACTGATCATAGAATGATAGAAAAGCCTGGGCTGAAAGGTACCTTAAAGGTTGTACAGTTCTGACCCGTATGCCAGGGGCAGGGACACCTTCCACTGGACCGGGTTACTCAGAGTCCCACCCAACCTGGACTTGAACACTGAAAGGGATGGATCATCCACAATTTCTTTGGAAAACCTGTGCCAGTGCCTCACCACCTTCGCAGTAAAAAATTTCTTCCTAACATCTAATCCAAGCCCACTCTCTTTCAGTTTCCATTCCAGCTTGTCTTGTAAATACCCTTGTAAACAGTCCCTCTTCATCTTTCTTGCAGGCTCCCTTTGGGTGCCAAAAGGTCCCAGTTAGGTCACCTTGAAGCCTTCTCTTCTAGACCCTGAAAAATCCCAGCTGTCTCAACCTTTCCTTGTAGAAGAGGTGCTCCATCCCTCCAATCAAATTGCTGGCTTCCTCTGGACTTGCTCCAACAGGTTAATGTCCTTCCTCTGCTGGAGACTCCAGAGCTGAATGCTATAATAGATTATTGCACTGCTTTAAGGAGAGAAGATAACTAGTTTAACATAATCCTGTCTCTTCCACTGAAGAGAAGAGCACCCAGGAAGATCCCAAATTCTGACTACTCAAAATATACAATTACAGATCTCTGAGATGATTATACTAGAGGAGGACTTGCTGATATTAAACTAATGTGTCTCAGGTCTGTAAGCACTTTGCTGCTTTCCAAAGGGTGACTTACCACCTAGTTAAAAAACAGGTAGATGGCTGAAAAATGGCCTGTGCTTGGTTGCATTTATAAAAATGTTCATTGTCTACCAGGAACTTGGTCATAAAATCAAATGACATTATAGCTCTGATGGTTATGCTTCTTGCCCTATACTGCCTTTTGTATCAACAATACCAATTGATATATCAAAACCACCTTATACAATCTGTCTTGTAAAAAGTCAAAGATTAAAAAACAAAGGCTGGTCCTGAACTAAAAAGCAACAAATATAAGTTAACACCTCCACCCATCACCAGCAAAAAGCAAAAAACGAAAACAAAACCAAGCCAAATCAAAAAGAAACCCCGAACAAACAATAACAAAACAAAAAAGCAAAACAAAAAAAACAAAAACAAAAAACAAAAACAAAAACAAAAACACCACAAGAGCAAAAGCACAATGGACATTTGGAGAAGTTTTCATTACTATTTTTAGAATACTTCATAAATAATATTTTAAAGTCCTTAATTTTGAGGAAAGAATGCAAAATCTAGTGATTGACAAGAGCAGAAACTCCAAAGAGTTCATCCCTTCTAGACAAGTCTGAGAACAATTTCAGGTGAGGGTTAGTGTAAGAAAAAATGGGGTTGAACTTTAGATATAATTGGTAGAGAGGTTGATTGGCAAATCAAGTTCCCATGGCAGGTGTGTTTGTACCTAAGCTGATTCATACTAAGATAATGGAAGAAGGATTCTGCACTGAAGATGTATTTACTGACGATATTGTCTGGTGCATTACAACTTCTTGCAGCTTTCTATCTGAGGCTTGTGTTAGTTATCCCTAGCAGTTTAATGTTAAATTAACTTTTTTTTTCCTGTATGATCATAATTGATACTAACCTGTATGATAGTTTTGCTTGAATTTGACTTTGCTATTAGTTTTAATAATAATAAAAATACCAATTTCCTCTCTCCCATAAAATTTGTCTTACAGCCATTTTCCCATATATTCAGCTGTGTTCTGACCTCAAGTTTTACCTTTGTCCAGGAAACAAATATTTATGCTGGCTGGAGTTAGCAAAATTATTTCAGCACAATGACTCAACAGAAACTGCCTTATTCATACATATTTTATACTCTGGGTAGAAGGATAACACAACAAAACAGCTCAGCTTCTATAAAAAGAGTTCGAGGACCTAATTTTTCTGTTTCATTGTCCAGTTTTATGCCAGTAGAATTTCAGTGGCATACAACATGAGTGACACCATGGTGAATCAGTCTCTGTGGTTATACACTCTGTTTGCAAATGCACTGCCTAGGAACTCTGCTATTTTCAAATCTTTTTATAATCAGGTTACCTAAGTCTGTAAGATGAAACATTTGTAATATTTCCAGTAGCCTACACATGCACAAATACAGAGAAAAAAGCTATAAAGCACCAATAGCACTGATGCTCTGCCTCAACCTTTTGAATACGTGATGTTTTGCATAGTGGCTCTATTTTCCAAAGGGTCTTAACTATAAAAAAGAAGTAAGCATCCAGTAAAATCAGAGAACTAGATATTTGATTAATGGGATTTATCTGTAAGAAGCAAAGCAGATATTTTTTTTTCTCCTTTTGCAGCTGAAGGATAGTTTAAGCATTTAGCAAAAAAAAAAAAAAAAAAATTAATAAACTATCTTTCATCCCAATCCTAATGGTAATGGGGCAGAAGAGGGTAGATAACATGCTTAGCTTTGTAAGAAGAAGAAACAGACCCCTTTTTGAAAAGATATTAATTTCACTCTTCCATTTACAAATATTTCATAGTAGAAACACTTACCATTATGCAAGGATTAGGAGTATTATATGTATACTATGATAAAAAATTAATTAGTAAGGAAGGCCTCACTGCCTGCAGGCAAGAGCTGATAGGAATCAGTGGCTGGCTCCTATCTATACCTTTCAGCTGATACTGATGTGGTAATAGCTAGACTAAATATTAAATATTTGTCTCTTGGCTCTGTTTTTCCTCAATCAGCTTGTTTATTTTCTTTATGACATGGAAGTCAATGCTTACAGAAATGGGATTTATTTTTTGTTTGTTTTAATTTGGAGTATCCTCACTTTTTAAATGTCTGTCAGACGGAAGTTACTTACAGAGCAAAGACTGGGGAACAGTGCACTAGAGAAGACCTGGAATCCAAAGGGGATGAGGTTTTGTTCTCTTTTGAAATGCATAACGAGTACTGAAATTCTGATCTCTCATTCTCGTGAAAAATTGCAATAGTCACCAGATATGGTACCTATATGGTAGAGCAATCAAGTGAAGCCAAAAAATGACAACCATCTTCCCTGGAGTGAATCAAGGATAACAACTAGAAATTATAACAAGTTTTTGATGCCAGTTGTAGAATTCCAGACATCACCTGGAAAGAAAACCTGACACAGAAAAGCAGGCAGGAGGACAGAAGGAAGGCAAGCATAGCCTAAGCTCTTGTAAAACTGAATTTACTTATGGGGGCTTGCAGTCTTTCCATCAGCCAAACACTCCGTTGTGTATCTGAATGAGGCAAAAATCTATGGCCAAACATTTCACTGAAAATGCCAAAACCAGCACTTAACCTGAAATGTATATGCAGAGGTGTATGTTTTTCTAGTTACATTCCAGATTTGCAGTTCAGCTGTTTTTAAGTTTAGTGGCTGTATTGCCACAGAGAAGTGGTTATAGGGTAATATTTTTGAGGCAAACAGAAGAATGGTACCTCTATGAGGTTTCAAATGTAAAATTTAAGATACAGAGATTTTACCTGGCCTGAAAATGACAAGAAATTAAAAATACTTTCATCTGTTAGGATTAAATACTTATTGCATAATTATGAATGCTTGCCAAAAGGAAAATTATCCTGTGGTGAACATAGAATTTGTTGAAGAAGTAAACCTTGCTTATAGCATCAGAGTGGAAATATGTTTTGGATACATCTGGTCTTTGAATTGATTCAATCATGGGAAAAAAACCAACTGGTTTTGTAAAAGCAATGACTTATCTGTGATAGACAAAATACTGCCACAATATTTAACATGATCTTGCATAAGAAGCTTTTAATTGTAGCATGGTGAAATAATTGCCATTGAACAGATGAGTTTATGTCACTATCTAAGCAATTCTGTCATAACGCGAAAGAACATAAGCATTTGGGAAAACACAGGGTCAAAAAACCCTCTTTGCCTCAATTCTCACTGCAGCCCATTGCTCCCCCTTATTGCTATTAGCCTTTCATAATGTAAAACATTTCATTTCCAACAGATAATACTTTCAGTCGAAAGGTAATTTTTGAAGACTATTACTTGCATTCTTAGTGAAGAGCACAATGTAGCATTTTGTTCTAATATGCCATTGAAATTGTTTGAGTAGACACACCATGGAATCAAATACAAAATGTCAAAATGGTTTCCATTAACTATGCACATTTGCACTGCTTCAGTTAATGGGCATGTTTTTGTTCTTCTGCTTCATCTTTGCATCTATAAGACAAAATGATTCAGTTAATGTAACTGAAAAGTACATTGAAAAGGTAGAGCAAATTACAAAAGCATCAAACCACAATTCCACCCACGTACTTTATTTTATAATGAAGTTTAATAATGACTAAAATTGCCTTCAGATTTAAACATCAGTCATTTCTGCAATTGTGGTTAATGTGAAAAATCTCACCCACGGTAATGTTTTAGGAAAACATTGTAGAAATGTACATTATATTTTATACTGAAATGTCATAATGAAATCTTAACTAGATATCACTGAAATATAGAGTATGTTAAAAGTAATTTGCCACTATGGGCAGAACTGAAACAGGGACTGTGTTCCCATCAGCATGATAACAGGTAGGGAAAGTTCTTTTATATTATAAAAGCTCTATTGTGCTTCAGCACCATTATGGTGAGAGAGTCTTTGATACTATCTTTGATAGTAGGTATCATCTAAAATACTGCTATAATACCTAAATTACTTGTTTTGTACTGATAGTGTCATAAAATAGTATTTTATGAGAGTGAGCATCAATGAGAATATTATTTCCTCAGAAGGACACAAAATGGATTAATCTTCATTTTGAAATAAGATATTTTTGAATGGTTGCCTTTCCTAGCTCTGCCTTGTGAGGATGCAATATGCCACCAAATCCTTATGCCCTGAGCGTGCAGGAACAGGATCCCTGGGAAGGTAACTGGGCTGCTGCCGGCACCACGGCGAGGGTTTCAGCAGCACCAAGTGACTTCACAATTATAGAGGGTCCTGCTGCAAAGAGCAAAACAGGGGAGAAGAAATGTTCTCACACAGCCTTGTGCCTCGTTCAGATAGGGCTAAGCATTGTCCTTCCCTGGTTGAATGAATTTTTAGACGTTGAAATTTAATTTGGGTCAAAGTTGGATTAACTGCCATGGAAACTGTATTTAAGCCTCTCTTAAAAGAAAAAAAAAAAAAGAAAAAAAAAAAAAAAGAAAGAGAGAAACCCTATGCTCTGAATATTCAGGTTCTCTTAGTAAGTGAATGAATGAGCTCTCCTGATAATTAAATTTGAAGCCAAGCCTGTACAGCAGCTCTGTACGGAGCTGTGGGCAAGGAGAGGCAGCCCGGGCTCCGGGCTGGGAGGCAGAGGCGGCTGTCGATGTGTCCCTGTCCTGGAGGCTGCCTGGCCCTTTTTCTCTCGCCTCTTCCCCACCCACTTACAAGTTAAATCCTTCACTTGGGATTTGGGGTTTCCTCCTCGAGGTTAACTTTTCTGGCAGTGGTCACCAGATGGCAGTATGATATCATCAACCCCTCTCCCCCACGGACCCCTCAAATCACAAGGAGGAAAAAGGGGTTCAAACGGTCCATGGCATCCTATATATAGGATACAATATCCTATATATCATATATATATATAGGATACAATTCAGATACAATTAGTCTCACAGCTGAGCTAGAGAAGAGTCAAGTTTTTTTCCAAGATAAGAAAGTGCTGCTTCCACTAAATTTGATGGTGAATGTGCTAAATATCAGGAAAAAAAACCCTAAATAATTCATCCTGCCTTGATTTATTTACAGTATATATTACTTCTCCAGAACATAACTTTATATAGAGCCCTAAGCACCTGAATTTTGGATGACATATGGAACCAAACACTCGATTATCTTGTCAGCTGTCTGCTCAGACTCTGTCCCAGTGCTCTTCAAGTCCCAGTTTCTTATAATGGACTTTTTCTTTTCCAGTAGGCTGTATGGTTAACTTCCTCAATAAATTAAAATGTATACAGTTCAGATGTGCATAAACAGTGTGTGAGTCATACACAGAGTCTGAGACGGTGATGCAGTATCCTCTGGGGCCACATTGCAACACAAAATATGTGCTCTTCCCTTTTTTTACACATATGGACACAACCTGTAGTTATTTTGTACAGCCTCCATTTCTGCTTCTGCCTCAGTACAGTTGCAAAAGTCTGTAAGCAAAAAAAAAAAAAAAAAAAAAAATCCAGTGTTTATTCTTTATGTGACAAACATCAGATTTAAAGTCCTCTGTTTATTCAATTGAATGTCAGTTTTAATGGAAAGGTCTGGGACTGCAAAAGCAAAGTAAAAAGACCAGCAGTCTGATGGCCTGCAATCTTCCTTATGTGACTCCTCCAACACCATCACTATGGAGATATAAGTAGATCATTTGCTGCCAGCGATATTGGACCATCAATACTGATGCTGATGCTTCTGCTCTGCGGGTCTATGGTTTTTTTTCAGGCCAGACAATGATCAAGAAATTACAAGACCATAATTTCCAACACGTCATGCATTGTATGCTTCCTTAAACACTGTGGACATAAGTTTCAAAAATGGGTAGGCATTACCTAAATTATCTGCAACCCTTTAGTATGTGAATCCTGTCCTTTAAAATATTGTTTTATCTCTGCACAGAAGAATGTGACACCATGCTCTCTAATTATCTGGATTAATTCTCCAAGCTATGGCCTAGTTCTATTAAGGCACACTCATAAGGTTTTGTCTGTACACCGGCACAGAAAATAAGACAGTACTAGTTACTCAGTTCTCACTGTATCCTGGAAAAATTCCTTGACACTGCAATCTATGGGTCACAGCTGTTGTACTCAGGTCACTGGTTTTGTATACTGCTATAATAACTAAAAATAGTCTATTCAGGGCTCAGCACTACATGATGAAAACGGGCTTGGGCTGCTATCAGCTCGTCCTGCTCTCCCCAGGGAATTTGTGTCAGTTAAAAAGGTGCTATTCCATAAAAGAAAAGGAAGTAATTTGTTTTTCTAAAAAGTTTAAAGGTCGAGAGGGAAAATTCAAATGTAAAACCTCTTATCACCATCCCCTTACTAGATGCAAACTAGTGATAGGTATAGGTGAGAGAAGAAATAATAATGATTGAAAGTAGCACCCTTTGCAGCGAGTAGCACCTCAGGTGCCAGTTGCTGAACTATGGGACAGACCAAGATTCAGATATGCCATATACTCTACACAAAAAAAAAAATCCCAAAACTAGGTCTCCTTCCCCATAGATGTGCTTTGAGCAATGTCTAATCTATCAGGTATTACAAGTAAGGGACTGATATTTGCCCATATCTAACTCAGTATCACAACATAGCTAATGTCATCCCATTAAAAATAGGGTAAAATTGATTGCTGCTAATGCCCCTGAGTCAAACCATTTATTATTTACTTATTTAGCAGATCTATACAGAACAAGAAACTTGTCTTTGCCCCGAGGAGCTTGGTATATGTTCAGCTGGAAAAGCACGTAGTAGATCCAGGCATTATTAAAACCTATTCCCTGCTACAACATGAAACAATTAAGCAAAGCTGGATTCAAGATAAAGCTACTGCTGACTTACTTTTTTAATGCAGTGATGCTTAGAAATCCTTGTGGGTTTGTTTGGTTTCTTTTTCTCTGGTGTATTTATTGGAGTTTTGCCTTCTTGTCTTCAAAGCAGAGTAAAAAAAGACAGAAAAAAGAGAGACAAGTGTATTAGGATTTCTCCCTTTGATCCTGACCAACAGCTGAAATGTGACTGCACATTTCCATCAGAATTGTCTGATTTGTTTTTTCAGTGGATGAATAACAGCTCTGGTAGATAGGGCTGGAGATGGGTGTTTTAAGAGGGACACAATCAAAGAAAAGGTAATATTTTCATTCATAAATCTGGGAAACCACTTTATTGGTGATCAGTATAAATAAAAATGCACGAAAGGGAGAAGAATAAAAATGTGTATTTACACCTAAGTATGAAGGTGGAGATGGAGGGAAGCAAATAACTGATAACACAGGGACACAGCACTGCAGCAGAGAAAAAGAGACCTACACTTTCTGCAATAAGCAGGAGCAGTGGGAAGATGTGGAGAGGAGCATGGCTTCATGATGGAGAGTGGATGAAGCATAAAAAAATTCCCCTCTTGCCTTTCATTAAATTCATTTGGCTGTGTTAGGTTTTTGAGCTGAGTTGTGCTATCAGTCTGTGGAACCTCTGTCCCCCTAAAAGTTTAGAGATCAACAGAGCACTTTTACAGCTTTGAAGTATATTTACCAACACATATTTTTGCAGTGGTTTGTAAACATAGCTCAGCATAAGAAGCAAGAATCCTTCTGTATCTAAGGGTAATCCCTTGCAAAGGTGAGTAGGAAGTTCTCATCTAATACACCACACATGCAGGCACAATCCTCATTTTGGAGCCCAGGAAGACTTTACACTCCTGTGTTCTTCTTAGACTCCAAAGATTGAGCATGGAAATCAGTTAAAGTGCAGAAAGTGATCTATTTTAAACATATGTCAATCAATCCCATTTGCTGTTTGGAGTCTGTACATGGATTTTTCATGTTATTTCTTGGCTGTTAAAGTTGGTGCCAGAGTGAAGGCATTTGTTTTTCTAACACAATGTTCTATATGCGTGAAAAAGAACTTCAAAAGTGGAACAAAGCTCCTGCTGTCAGAACAAAATCATAACTCTGCTGAGGACATAGAAGAGAATGACAAAGATAGCATTGTTACCCTCTATATCAAATTAAAATCAAATTTGAAGAGTTCAAAGCCTTCAAACCATCCCATTATTCTATTTTTAAAAGGAAATTAGATGATATCTGCAAAGGTAAGGGGTTTTGGATTTTTTTCTGAGTTTTCTCTCATTCATTCACAGCAAATTAAGCACATGAACACACACAATCAAAAACAGCAAAAAAAAAAACTGAAAACAAAACAAAACAAAAATCTACAGTGTGGAAAGTGACTCTTCATTTTAGTTTACATGGTCAGGTGACATATTCAAGATCCAGTGACATCAAACACACTAAGCAAATATTTTTCTTCTGGGTTTGGGTACTGGTGATTGTAAAAATTATATTTGAAATATTACAATAATGAAAAATCTGACAGGATGTGTCATGTGCCAAATGAACATTAAAGAAAGATTAATAAGCCAGAAAATATGCTCCAGTCTTTTTTAATGTGACCTAATTACATTGCCATAATATCACATATGAAAATTGAAAGAAGTGTATATTTAGAGGATGCTGATTTTTTGGATTTTTCTTTCTCTTTACTTTTTTTTTCCTTTACCAGAACCCTTCAATATATCTATATTTTTCTCTATAATTTGCCTTTGATTCGCATGTCTCTGGAGCAATTCTCCTATCAGGCAAGTTTTCCTTATGATTGGCAAAGAAGTTTTTCTCTCAAGATAGTTTAAAATGTCACTAATGATGCATTAAAGATTCTTCACTAGTAAGAAATCTGACATGAGATTTTAAGAGATGTCATTGTCATATGGCTCAGCAGCATTCATATCCACTCCTGGGCAGCTGTGGTAGATGTTTTAAGAAGAGCATCTGTTAAGTGTACCTCTACATCAACTTCTGAAGACCATTAAAAAAATATATACAGAACAGGAGAGCTGACTCAGGGTCTGCAAGCCTGCCTGGTTAAAGAGAAAATTTCATAAGTGCTATTTTTTATGTAAAGATGACTACTGAAATAGTTGTTATGTTCCTTGCCCTACTAATGTTGACCATCCAGTGCAGGAATCTGGTTGAACATAATCATAAAGTAGAAAAAAAGCCTTGGAGTAAGGGAAGAGGGATAAAAAACAAATTACACCTGTGTAGTGCAGTCAAAAATAATCACTAATGGACATCCTTCTTACAATACAGATTTTGTGAAATGGTGGCAATACTCCTATCATTTATGATTTCCTGAAGAATGGACAACTATTTATAAATGAATGGCTCTGTAATAACTCGGTGACACCTTCATAAATCTCACCGATGTAGAGCAGTGTGTGACACATCTGATGAGAAATGTGTTTACTCCTTTTGGATTAAAAATAGAAAAACACAATAGAACAAGTTCATTGGCAGGTTCAGGTGCCCACTTAGTGTATAATAGAATCAGGAAATGAAAGTGCCCTGTGGCACAGAGAAAAACACACCACTAGCACCCTTTTTTAGAGGACATGAACAAGCATGTTACTGTGGTTCGAGTTGTTTGGTTTTGGGTTTTTTTCAGCATTTAAATACTAGCAAATGTAACTCCTTACCATCAGCTAAATATTTATTCACTTCTTCTGCTTGTTATTTCTTCATTAGCAAGGTTTTCCCTGCTGTGCAGTGGAATATGCAAGTAACTTTGCAAATGTCAGAAGCGCTCAATTTGGATCAACTGGAGGAAGTGATAACAAGACTCATAATCAAGTAGAAGTACAATAGTGGCACATTTCAAGCTGCGAAATAATAGATCGATTCAGAAGGCTCATTCTCATGGGATAATACTTCCATTTGTTCTTATTTTGAGATCTGGTTTTTATTCACTATCGCAATGGGAAAATATATTTTTCTTTTAGCATCTTATTTGGAGGCAGCAATTTAAATTATATTAGACCACTAATTGTTGTTTTATAAAACAAATGTTGTATTTCAATAAAGATAAACTTAAGCCAATGTAGGGTTTAAAAGCTTTGTATTCGATCCTAACTTACACTTCTTACATGTCTGTGTTGTAGTGGTAGGGAGTTTTAACAGCACAGTGAAAAGTATTGCGCATCCTGTTTGACAAGATCACTGCTGAAATTCATTCTTGCAGCAAGGCAAGCTCACAAAACAGAGCTGTTATGAATATTGAGTTTTTAAATTTGAAAATGAACATTTTTTTACTCCATAATATAATCTATAAAATTGTTGCAACTGCATAATTTAGTAAGAAATTCTGGAATATTTTTCTTTTGTGGGCTGAATTTCTGGATTTCTAGTCTGTGACAACAATAAAATGTCATTAGATAAATTTCATTGATAGTGCTCACTTTTCTCTCTACATCCTTTTACTGTACAATGACACGTTAATATTAAAGTGTGTTTCCATTATTTTTCAAAGATATTACAGTAGAATATTGCCTCAAAGTTACAACTCAGAGGTCTTTCTCCATTTCCTGTTTGCTAATCAGTCTGTGGCTTCTGAGTCATTCTTTTATTTAAAACTGAAATGAATTAGGTGTATTCTATTGTTCTTCCTCAATGGGAAAAAAAAAAACCTTGTGTAAATTTTATTAAACATAATGGTTTTTATCCAGTAGGCCATTTTACAGAACTCTGCAGGTTTCAGCATGATTATTCATGTGATGAGAGGCTATGAGATTGGGTCTCTCTTTGGCTGATGTATATTTTTATGTTCTTTGACCAAAGAGATGCTTTAACATAATTTCCACTCAAAAACATTCATCATGGGATAAGTCAATACCCTTGGCTTTAGGTGCCTGCTATATCCCACAAAGTTGAGTAGGTCCCCTCAGATCTGACAAAGGGACAGGAATAGGATCCATTGCGCAAAAGTTTGGCGCAGCAAGGTCAGGTTTACATTCAGAGCCACCCTTTAAGAGGAAGACATTCCTTTTTCCTAGTTTGATAGGTGACCTAGACACCTGAGTTGTGGGTGGAAAAATTCATTTCAATATGGCACTAGATAATGAACCCTTAGCTATGGTAAATTGGCATGATTTTCTTGAAGTCAGTGATGCCATGCTGACTTAAACAGACAAAGAGCTGGCGTTAAAAACTTCCTCTGCACACATACATTTGCATATGGCTGAGCCCTCTAATCTTCACTTCCCTTTAGAGTAACAGATATTCATGGATGTCCTGTCATATGGGGTTATCAAGCTGAAGAAAAATATTTTATTTGTCTGGAATTGGGCCATGTAGAACAAAATATCTGTCTACAGACAACAGATAAGTCTGAGGCATCTAACTATATCTCAATCGCTTCCCCTCTACCATCCTGGAATAGGAGGATTCCCAAACCAGACAGAGAGAGGAACTGGACCTTTTAATGCACTCCTGTCTCTATTGCCTGGTCCATGAGACCATTCTTTCACATCCTAATCTGCACTATGTTTCCGTTGGCTTTTTCCTTGCCAGAAAATTCACTGAGACCAGTGATTTAGTAGGATTTGAAAAAGATCATGCATTTATACTGGCAGTAAGTGTGCTTTAAACTCAGTTAAACAGGATTTGTTTTAAGTTAGGAAGGGATATAAACCTCGCTTCTCCTGAGATTGGCAAATTTGTAGCTGTTGCAGCTGGAAAAAGATGTTTTCTTCTGAAAAGAGATGCTGTGCCCCTGCCATGTAGGCAGCTCTGTGCCCTTCTACTGGTGCTGGTACCTACTGAGAGCAATACCAAGCTCTCAGTGAAGTAACTTGGTTCAGATGTTGCCTCAAAGGATGGCTAACAGGCAAACAACACAGCACATCAGGCTTGGGCAGTACTCAGTGTGATTCAGAAAAGGCAAGAACACAGGGACTGAACCTCAGTGTGCAGCCTGCATAGTTGAAACCCTTCACCATGCACAAATTTCAAGGAAAATTCCACATATCTCTTCCTGATAGGCAGGTAGTTCCTTCTGATTGCTTCCCTGACTGTACATACAGATTATTATGTTAACATTGACCTGGATGTATGATCTTCAGCATGGATAGAGGATGAAAGGAACGTTTCATGCTCTGAAAATTTATCTTCCAGATATTTGTGATACAAAGTAGCCAGCTACCATATAAAAGATGACTAGAGAAAAAAAGAATAGATTTCAGTTATTAATTTAAAAGGAAAAAATATATACAATACATTAAAAAAATCATGTGCACTCCTCCATCAAGTCCATTAACAGTCTCCTACAGGGATAAACCACTTTCCTCTAGGATTGCTGTCTGAAGGACAGAGGAATATGGATTTTATTTTTTTATGCTTCCTGAGAAACTGGAGAAGTGTTGAGAATAAAATTTCCTTCAGATCAACATCACATGCAAGAAGTAAAGGCAGCAAATTACCACTCTTCTTGTCACATCCTGGAACTGAAGAACTATTAAATTTTTCTGTCCTAATCTCTTTTCCTTGAAACACAGAATCTTCTATGATGTCATAGAAGAAAGTAAATTACTTGGGGAGAATGGTGAATTAAAATCAGATGTTATAGTTCTACTCTGGGATATTGTGCTGTTTTAGTACCTGTCATTTCTTTAAAAAAAGACAAATAAAATTATTCAGACTCTACTGTTGAAACAGAGTATGTGCTTCTGCTGCCCATGACACTGGAAGCACGATCTAGAAATATTAAAAATTCCTAGACTACAATATTCTCACCACTTTGGTATAACAGGAAGTGATTTTCAAGAAAAGTAGTCTGGTTGTACAGCTTTGCTTTTATCGCTTTTTCTGTATAGTGTCATGGCATGGTCACACTCTGCTAAATATAGACCTTATATGAAGGGGAAAAGCAATCTTTGTGATTTCACTGATCTGCAATAAGCCATTCACCATTGAACTCTCTATTTCTTTTGAATGTGATGACATTTTTATGCATAAATCTAGCACTACTCTGGACAAGCTAAACCATAAAATGTGAATGTCCCTAAAATTGCTTTAGAATATGTTTATTTTCAATTCATATTAAAAAATTCATATAAAAATGTTACACTGCAAGTGTCAGATGGATATATATATAAATATATATATATAAATTTTCTAACAATTAGTGCTATTAGAAAGCTCATGATTTCAATTACACACAAATCACACATCTAAAAAAGCAGACCTTCAATACAAGCTCTCAGTAGCTAGGAAATGTCAAAATTAGGATTTCCATTGTATGGCTGTGTGCATACATTTTTATTATTGTCTTTTACTGTTGTCTTGAATGGAAAAATAATTCCGTACATAAAACCTACATCATTCAACATACAAAATGGTCTTAAGAATAATTTAGTCAATATTCTGGGTTTCTTTTTCCCCTTCATTCTGCAGCATTTGGCCATATCTGTTGCTAAAACATAGATTTAAAGACAGAATACATTTTTTTTTCAGTGACACTCATTATATCCACAACTGAGTGACACATAAATATTAATTAATTATTTTCACCAGTCTTTTATGAGCTGAAGAGTGGCATGAACATTATGCAATAGCCAGAGTGGTTAATACATTTGTGAAAACAAATCTTTCCAGTGATTAGCAAGCAGAATTTGAGACAGAGGAAAATCAGACCTCTCACAGCACTTAACACCATATAGCAGCTTACATAATGTTATTGACTTCAGCTGAAATTGCAAGTTCATAGTACTTTCCTTTCTCAGATTCCCTGGTACGATGGTAAAAATTAGTGATGAGCTGAAAAAACTCCAATCTGATGTGACTTCCTAATGTTTTATGGCTGTTTATCCTCTTGGTTAGGAGTTTGAATTCCACCAAACTGACGAGTTAAGTCCCTCTTTAAGAAGAGATCCCAAAGGGGGAGTAGAGTATGGAAAAGATGTCTCCAACTAACACCCATAGGTTGGCTATAATTACAGTGCTGATGCTACACAGTTCAAAGGCAGGAATTTTGTGTATATCTGCCTGCAAGACACCCTTGGCATACAAGCTAAGGTATGGTAGGAGAGGGCTCTGCATGGTGTATTCAAGGGATTTTGACTTCATTTCATCTGCAATTTTCTTGAAGTTCCCTGTGACAGTCACCAGACAACTGCAACAGGTGAAAATATATTCTGCCAGGGCCACCAGGAATGGGAGAGTGTTGCAGGAGATGAAAAGGGCAAAAAACAATAATAATAAATAGTAGTAAATACTTACATCACAAAATGTATTCAAAAAGGAATTTTAAATAAGAGCTGCACAGAGAACTTTAGCTTTCCAGTTTTCGCATTTGTGACTACTGAACGCAAATGCAGGCAGAAGGTGCGGCATTGAAGGTGAGCCCAGACTCTTTTTTCTGCAGTGAGTAGAGTGAGCCAGCCTCCAGCAAGACCTGACTGACCCATTCCAGAGGTTACAGCTCATCATGTGTGGTGGCTAGCAGTAGATCTACATCTCCATTCTACAAACATCACTTGTGCTGTAACCTATTTTTCCAAATTATTTTTATTTCTTTTTTTTTTTTTTTTTTTTTTTTTTTTTTTTTTTTTTTGCTTTCTGGCTTTGTGAAAGGCAATCTACATCGCTGCTTATATTTGTTGTCTTTGCCTGGATCTTTGGTAAATCTATTATACCTTTTTCTTTTGCTCGGGCATTTCTAGAACCCCAGTGTCTTTAAATTTAGAATAATGAAATCTTGAAATATTAATAGTTGAGTAATATACATTGGGACATGATTATGTATTCTGTTATGCTCCTAATTATTTTCCTAGTTATTCCTCAGAGTCTAGTTATATTTATAGACAGCTGAATTCTAAGCTGTTGTTTTGAAGAACAGGGTGTGGCTACAAAATCTCTTTCTGGAATGGTAGTAATTACACTCATGGCCATCCTTTTTTAATACTTGTAGGTTATTTCTTTTCCTAGGCTTTAAATTCCACTTCTTAACATATGATTTCATCTAACTGTTTATCATCTACTTGAAAGTTTGAGCTCCTTGACAACTCCTCACAATCAGCTTTAGATTATCCCAAATAATTCTAGATAATTTTCAGATATTTCTCTCCTTATCATTCAAGCAATATCCATTTATGAATATGTCGAATGGCACATTTTTCACATGTAGAATTTGTTTGAGCTTCTTTCTTTCTGAAAACCAGCTACCCACTCCTTACCATCTGTTTCTTATACTTTCACCTGAACCATATGCTCAGTGGCTCCTCTGAAGATGACTGATACATGAGTCATGACTTCTCCTTGCAAAGGCTAGGTTATCTTTTTCCTAGTATATCATGTTTTTCTCTTTTATTACTCAGTCTGTGAAATGGAATATTCCTACAGATTTGCTCTTACATAAATATAATGTATTGGTTTGTAGTTGTCTCAGTTAATCTAGAAAATATTTTGAAATTTTAGTGAGATACTTGCCACTTTCCATTCTTCAGATAATACAAGTCATTTAAATGACAGACTATTATTCACAGAAAATAATTTAGTAGTTTTTTATCTCTGTTGCTGAAGAATTCCTGATGGAAGCAGTCCTGTGACCTTATGTTCTGGTAAAGTGTAGCTATGGAGTAGGAATCTCTCTGGCCTCTTCAGCAATAAATGTTGACACAAGGAATTAATTTTGAGGGTATTTTCTCCAATAGCCTCACCTTAGTGAATGTCCCTTTTATAATTTGATTAACTGTTGGACCCACATATTTTACTGAAGACATTTTCTTCACAATTTAGGAGGAAAAATTGTTTTAATATTTTTACCCTATTAGCTCTAACCATGTGTGTTTTTACACGTGACCTCTTGAGTGTTTTTAAAAGAATAAAACAGAAGAAATCCTTTCCTGTGAAAACAAATAAAAGAGGTGGATAAGAACTTTGGAGATTTTAGCAGAGAGCAGGTAGCAGCATAGTAGTTCTTGCAGGTCAGCTGCAGAACCCTGAGATAACAGTTTGCCATTACTTTGTCGTTTGTACCAGCAGCAGAACAATAGTGAGACTCAGGACACTTGTGTTCACCCAGCCATGTGCAAATTGAGCAAAGGCTTTCTTTTTCTCATTCCTCCCTTCTCTGACCTCTTCTTTGCCTTGACCTTGATCTTTATATCAGCTCATTTGAAAGGTTTTGTTTGGCATTTTCCAAGAGTTGCAATTGAAGTCAACATTGAATCTATAAAATATCAGCTCAAACAAGTTAGCAAATTTACAAGTCAGTGAAAACAGATCTTTATAATTGAAAGCATTAAAGTGGCATAAGAGACAACATAACCTGTTCTGCCTAAAATAGCTACTGTTAAAGAAAATCACTTTCAGCTATGTGCTTTCAGGAGCATGAATAAGGTAGAACCCCTGGGTGTCAATGGTGCTATGGCTTCCAAAGTGTAAATGAAGCAAAATATAAATTATTTCATACAAACAAAAACAAAATTCAACATCCTCATACCACTGCTCCACAAGCATTTTCTGGAAAAGTTGTTATGTAATGAAAGGTTTATATAACTTCCTTTCTGCTACTCTGTCTCCCTCTTGCAGAGCTTTACAGGAGCTTCACACTGGAAATTACTCCCCAACAACTTATTCATACAAATGTTATGCTGTGTGCTACAAACCCTTGCCATGGATATTTGGGAAAGGACTGGGGCTTTCAGAGACCTAACTTTCAGGGAGGTCTTCTGCAAAACCGTGAAGCTAATCTGAACCTTACACTTAGTTCAGGTTTCATTCTTTGACCTTGCATCACAGATCCTATGAATAAAACATTGTCCTTTCAGTGCAGTCTCAATAACTGGACATTTTCTGGGTCCGTGGATTTGTACAATGAGATATCTACTCCAATCTGTGTACATAATGCTCCAATGCCTGCCAGGAATGGCTGCAATATTGATGCCTTTCAATGTAGATCACATCATTCACAGAGCAGAGTTCAATAAAATGATACTGTAGTTAACAAGTTTTATAACACAAAGTTACTTTAAAACATGGAACTAATCAGGAGGAAGCCTGTTTATGCATGTCACAGTTACATTGAATTGTCAATAAATAAACAAAGATTTGCTTCACCTATTGTCATGTAGATCAAGTGAGTCATTAATCTAAACTAATGAAGCTTAAGATATTTGACAGGCAGTTTTTATGGAGCTCTTTCTTAATGATATGTTTGCTTTTCTTTATGACACCAAGAGACTATTATCTAGAAA